GGATCTTGACAGAGGCGCACAGTGCTCCATACTTGGTGCACCCCGGTAGCACCAAGATGTATCACGACTTGAAAGGGTCGTTTTGGTGGAAGGGGATGAAGCGAGATGTCGCCGAGTTTGTCGAGAAGTGCTTGGTTTTCTAGCAAGTGAAGGCCGAGCACAAGGTCTCACCGGGACTCTTACAGCTTTTAGAGATCCCGCAGTGGAAGTGGGAGAAGCTGGCCATTGACTATGTCACGGGATTACCGATGTCGCCCGAACATCACGATGCAGTATGGGTTGTAGTGGACCATCTGACGAAGTCGGCCCACTTTATGCCAGTCAGGATGGACATGTCCATGGAGCAGCTAGCCGAGACGTACCTTCGTTGAATCGTTTGACTTCATGGTGTTCCTGCCGAGATTGTATCAGATCGTGATCCCCGGTTTACTGGCCATTTCTGGGAGAGTCTGAACGAGTCCATGGGGACGAAGTTAAAGTTTAGCTCCGCTTATCACCCACAGACCGATGGGCTGTCGAAACGGACCATCCAGACGCTTGAGGACATGCTTCGAGCTTGCCTAGAGCGAGGTGGTTCGTGGGAGAAGTTATTACCCACTGTGGAGTTTGCCTACAACAACAGCTATCACTCGTCGATCAAAGTGGCCCCGTTCGAAGCTTTGTACGGGCGCAAGTGCCGCTCACCCCTTTATTGCAATGAAGTCGGCGAGAAACAGGTTCTCAGTCCCAGTTGATCTAGGACACGGTGCAGAAGGTCGCTGAGATTCGAGCGAGGCTGAGAGAGGAACAGAGCCGACAAAAGGCCTACTCTAACAAGCGCAGAAGGGAGCTTGAGTTTGAGCAGGGAGACAAAGTGTTCCTGAAAGTCACGCCGATGAAGGGCGTTGTACGTTTCGGGAAGAGGGGGAAGCTGTAGCCCCGTTTCATAGGGCCATTCGAGATTCTTGAACGAGTTGGCGTAACAGCCTACCGTCTAGCGTTACCCCTAGAGCTCTCAGGTGTACACAACGTCTTCCATGTGTCGATGTTAAGAAAGTATGTGTACGATCCGTGCCACGTAGTGAACTTTGATGAGTTAGAGGTCAAGCAGAACCTGACATATGGTGTGCAGCCGGTTGCAGTGCTGGACCGAAAGATCCGTCGGCTGAGGAACAGAGATATAGAGCTCGTAAAAGTTTGCTGGAGTCGCCATGACGAGTAGGAAGCCACTTGGGAGAGAGAGGCCGAGATCAGAGCTCGATTTCCAGATTTTGAGTTTTGAGTTATATCAGTTGTACCTTGTGTACTTTTATTTTCTGTTTTGTATATAGTTTTGTAGTAGGAGTTCTGGCCTAGCACCTTAGTTTTGCATTTTCGAGGATAAAAATATTTTAAGGAGGATAGGTTGTAACGCCCCCATCAGTGAATAAAATGTAACCATTTCACTTGCTTGACTTTAAAGTGAAATCGGTAGTCTTCGAACCCTAGAGTTCTTCAACTAAGTATTTTTAAGAGTTATTATGCGAATTATGTGTTTATAGTTGTGTTTATATGTGTATTGTGTGCTCATTATGTTAGTTTATAAGTTCGATCGTTTGTTCGTACCAATTATCGGAGATCGTGAGTTGAGCTCTAGTCGAGCGATCGCGTGCCTTATTTCAAGCTAACTGAGCCACCAAGCCTTGGATCGAGGGTTTAATATTTTAGCAAGTCTTTAGCATTTTATGCTTGTCCTTGGAGTGGTCGTGAATGCCAAATATAGTTAAGGGACCGAGCGCGCCCTAGCCATAGCACGCGGGTGCATCCGAGCTAGTCACTCGAGCCTAAGCGCGCACAAGCCTATGAGCCTTGAACCAAGACCTTAGTCCACTCATTCATCATTCATCAATCCATACGTGTGCTTATAAGAGTTATTAGTCATATTTTAAACCATTTTGAGCACTAAGAAACATTTCTTAAGTCAAATCCACCATTAGCCTTATTATATGTCTAAGCATGCATGAGTGGGACGTTTTTTTTAGTCTCATGTGTAAGAGCATGTTCCCTCACTTTTTACCATGCAAAACTAGACTTCTCCAGCCCCTTTGCAGTCCACTAATTCGGCACTAACCAGCCTTAGTGCTCTACATCATGTGCAAAGTCCTCCCATGCACCTAGAAGTTAGTTTGCACATGTTCTTGTCTCTACTAGTGTTCCCACTCCTTTTGCTTAATTTCTCACGCCCTTTTGGCATATATAAGACCTCATTTTCAGCTTCTTAAGTACTCCTTTCTTTCCTCAGTATTTACTTAGCATATTAGAGAGAAAAGTCATGCAAACACTTAAGAAGAACCACAATGTCGAGAGTAATTCATGAAAATCCCGAGTGCATAGTTGTGCTCATTTTCGAGCTCTAAGCATCAAACCTTCATGCCCTCAGCATAATATCATTCTTACCTCATCCTACACTCACCATAGAAGATTTTTAAGGCTTTAAGTTCAAGAAAATTTGAAGAGAAGCAAGCATAAAGTCGAAGACAAGGAGAGGAAAGCTGGCAGCAACATATTCAAGTTCTCTCATGTTTTTCTTGAAGATTAAAAGCTTGTTATGCTCAAATCTTTTCAGAATCATAAAATAGATGAGATAAGGAGTTGATTGATATATAATTGAGCTATATAGATTCAGGTTTTAAGTAGTTTCAGGCATGCTTAATGTCTAAGTGCTCTCATATTTTCTTGCCTGTTCTATATGTTATGTTTCATGCGTTTTTGGCTATGCTATAAAAATTCTGGGAAGATGCATATTTTATATCTATTTCTTGTGGAAAAGAGGAGTTCATAGGATCAATAATGAAGTCAATTGGCCTAGTATAAATCGAGTTATTGATTTTTAAAGTTAGACATGAAAGTTGAACTTTACATACGATAATTCTATTTTGACTTCAAACACGAATAACTCAAGTTATACTCAGGATAAAATTATGAAATTTATGGAAATTTTTATATATGAGTTAAGAGCCTTAATACCAAATTTCATGATTTTATCATAAGAGATGAGTGAGTTATAAGTATTAGACCGAATGCATGTCGAGTTGAATTTTGATACTTTAAAACTCCCCCAATACTTGCGGGATTTATGTGAAATTTTAAGGGACATTTCTTGTATGAGTTGTGAGTAATGTCACAAAGTTTAAGCTTCAGAGGACACGAGTACAATTTTATAAAATTATTTGAATGCATGGGCGTAAAGTGCATTTATGTGCTAAGATTGAAATACTAGTTAGCCATGCTATTTATGCTCAAAGGAGATGGAATTTGTACAGCATGTACATGTATATGTCTACTAATTAACTGCAAAATATCATGATTTTTGGAGACTCGTATGAACTTTTAAAATTCATAAAGTTAGTAGTTCGATTAAATTTGATCTAAATCGACTTTATGTGATAAATATTGATTTGATTGAATTACATGAGTAGACATGACTTACTATAAGTTAAGTGGCCGGAGAGGGTCACCTCCCCGCCCTGACCGGTAAGCAGCCAGTGCCGCACGATTAGCGTACGCGAGCGTGCTGCCCGGACCGAGCCTAGGTCACCAGTCGAACCCGAGCCGGTTCGGTAAGCGGACCCGGTTCGACTGAGTTAGACCGGTTGGTTCAAACCGGATTAAGATAGACTGATAAATTCAGTTTTCAGGATTCAGTCAGATTTTATCCGGAAACGCTAGATCAGTCCAGTCGAGCAGAATAGCAAGTCCAGTTTACTTGTTTACATGATCTTATTTGTTTTATCTGTTTTGTTATGTATGCTTGTAATCTGCCTTATCTGTCTGCCTGCTTATCTGTTATAATATAAAATGATCATTTCAAATTAAGTTTAGCAGTCAAGCAAAATACTTAGATTATTTTGCTTGTATATGTTTGGTAGCTTGAGGAGAGTCGAGCCTCCGACAGCTACCCCAGATTATTCCAGCACTTGCTCAGTCCTTGTTCAGCATAACAGGTGGGGGCCCTGCACTGGGTATTATATTGCCTATCATCTTGTACCATTTATGAGGTATGTATGTAGATAAATTTTACCCGAACGGTCCAGTTTAATCGTTCGTGGTCCAGTTTATGTTGACTCCCAGTAGAGTCACTCGCCCAGTACAGTTTTGACTCCCAGTAGAGTCATCCTGGGTTTCTGGGGAGGCGACCCCCAGAACGTGATCACTTGAGAACCGACTAGTTACCGGTAACCTGCACCAGTACAGTATAGTTTTATTTATGTATATGCTGAGCTTATGATATTCGATTATATGTGTTGTTTATTCAGTGTTGGTTCTTGCGGAGTACAGTGGATGAGTACTCACGCCCCCACTATTATCTTTGTAGGTGATGGAGTGCAGCCCGGAGCGTGAGCCGTGCATGGTGGTGTGGTGGTGTCCGAATCAGCTGGACATTTGTTTATGTTTATGTTATGTTGGCATGTATAAATTATTTCAGACTGTACCGTTCTTTATTTTACGCTTCCGTACTGCCAACCCAGACCTAATATGTATGCACGTTTAATTGTCCCTCATCCGTATTTTCCCCAGTCGGATTTTTATATGTTGATTTGGGCACGTGCATAAGTAACAAGAAGAGAAGTAAGTCAAGTCAGTAAGTAGCATCCCGCAAGTTAGTAAGTTTAAACGTTTTTCGAAAACAGTATAAGTATATTTCGAAAACAAGCGCGAAAATTTTAGCCAGATTTTCGTGAGTCAAAGTTATAGTAGGCGGGGTGTTACAACATCTCTAATATCCCACAGCTCCACACACTCTTCGTACCATGGGAACCCAACATGACGGAAAAAGTATTCCAAATCCGTTTCCTTTGAAGTGAAAGTTGTCAATTAAAGTAAAAACTGAATATAAATTTGTAGCCAACCTACATTTGCCTACACAATGCATGCATGCATGAACTAAATAATTTTATAGAAGCCTAGTAAGGTTTACAATAATTATGCACATGAGTACGTAAAACAAACCCGACCGACGTATTCCCAGTACGTAGGAGTTACATTGACAAGACCCGATTCCGCATGCCCTCCACACCGGGAATCTCAAGAAACGTGAGGAACTCCCGAAAGTAGGTGTGCAGAGCCTTGATCTTAGCCTTAACCTTCAGCACGGAGAAATATGTTAGCATCTCTTTGGTTAGCTGTATTGAAAGGTGTGGCCATATGGAGTTGAAGAAGGAAGGTACGTTCACATCGGGAGTTTCACGGCAAATGTTGAAGGAAAGCCTATAGCACTCCCTTTCCTCATTCGCTGACCAACCGGGGTGATGATACCTCGCCACAATACGTAGCATGCTTTCATGACGATCCATTGGATTAATCTTACGATGAAAGAACCTGTAATAGAAGCAAAAGAATTTAATTTTTCGGATGCAGTAAATATGAAACTCGTCAGTTCAATTTCTTTTACCTGGTATTGATTTCTTTTTCCCTCAAAAGGGAGTTGATCTCCCCCAGCCAATTACCTCATGCAAATAAATAAGGATAAGTGACGTTGTGGTATAGTAAATTTGGTAGGTGTAATTGAATAAGACACTTAATGTTTGCTGATGGTGTATTGCAGTCAAACGTCTCTTTTTTAATGATGGCAATTGATTATGGGGTTGGAGGTTAGGTGGGGCTGTGGTTGCAGGTTTATTAATTTTGTTGCCACTAATTTAGTTTTGTCCATGATGTTGTGTGGGTGGTATGAAAAAGTGGAAGTACAATGTAGTTTTCTTCTCTTTTCTTATGTGCGGACAAATGGTGTGTTATGAAAATGTGGCCGAATAGAAGAATGTGCGGTTATTTGACTCACGAATATTTGTACACATATTTATATCTACAACAATTGAAATTTTGGGTGTATTGCTATTTGCAGTATGTTCCATAATAGATGAAATAATGTAGGCTTCAAACATTTTATAAAAATAATTATTTTTTATGAACTTTTTTTTTTTACCAATTGGACCGCTAATATCGGCAGTATCACCGGTCGGACAGGTAATATCGATGGTATTACCGGACTAGCAAACATAATCATATATATAAATATGCATAAAAATATAACCAAATGCAAAAAAGAAACAAAAAAAAAATGACCGTAATCATTAATTTGAACTTCTGAATGCCATAAACATAATAACATTGTAAGTACCTATTTAAATTTTATATCCAGTATTACCGGTTTTACTGTACGGTTCGGTACGGTGTTGAAATCATTAATCGGAAGTACCATGAACTGGGGAAAAAAAAATCAAGAATCGGGTTAAAAAGAGTTGGTTTTTTCATAAGAATTGTAATAAAAAGTAATTTTTGCAAAATTTTACGTCTAACAATTGTACACACAGTGATGCATTGAAGATGAATTCCACCAAAAATAAACTTTGCACAACCAGTAAAGCGGAAAGCACAAATCCACAAGCATAAATATGTCAAGACATTGGGAGCATGAGTGGCAAAAATTATATTACAAATCCTGGGATATCATAACATAACAGAAGTCCAAAAGTAGCTCAAAGTTTCCAGTCGTCCAAAGTTAAAGGCATAGTACGGGCAACACTAACAAAAGACAATAGAAGGTCACCCAAGTTTTAGAGCATTCATCATTCCAAATTACAATTTATTTTCGAGGATCATCTTCACCATTGAAGCTTTGTCCTCTTCGCCGACGCTAAAAAAAACGTCTATCTCTTCTTTGTTCCTATAAAAATAGTTTGTTACGATAAATTTTTGTTCGGTACTCAACATGGGAATAGACTTCAACATCTCGTAAATGTTTCTGTTGCTCCTTCTTGTCGTGCTGGACCCCAATACGTTCTACCATTTGACCCCAACATTGATCGGCTTTCTCGCATGAAGTAGACAGTAGGCCGACCACTTCAACCTCCGCATCTTTAACACGTTTACGTTTACCCACCCGTTTACCCTTCCTGGATGCACTACTCTCAACACCCTGTGGCGAAGATGACTCAATTTAATTCTCATTGGATTCCAAGTCACCATCAACCCCGCCACGCCTTACATTTTGGGTGGGGGAATCGTCACCAGTATTACTTAGTACTTCTTGCACCGCATCTGCGAAACCTGTTGCGCGGTCCTTTCCAAAATTATCGGCCCAATCACTGTAAAAGGGCCAAGACTTGTTGTGCAATCCATTCCCTTTTGGGTACACCTGCATGCATACAATGTTTGGTTGTGTACAATTGCCAAAATAAGAAATAATTTACATAAGCAAACGGAGAAAAAATTTAGTGAAGAAAGAGGAGATTAGTTGATGATTATTGCAAGCCTTCACATAATCGTTCCACACGGGCTCTTCTACTTCTAGTATGTGGCTAGATTAAAACCACCCAACACCGAAAGTGTTTTGAAGCAATGGTGCAAGTAAAACATAGTTTTTTTTCCATACCGTAATATTTCTACGAGATGTGAGGCTCCGCTCTAATTGCAGTCCCCGAAAACTGTTGCTACATATATTATTCTAAAAACATTGTGTACCCCGAACGGAACCCATTGTTGGCTTTCATTCCACGGGCAATTAGCTCCTTTAATCCTTAGATTAATGCACGTTCTTCTTCAAACGTCCAAATTCGCCGTTGATTGTTTACGTTTGGCCCACGTCCCACACTAGTTGTAGAGTCCATTTCTGGTAAATTTTAAATACTAAATCATAATTAGGACAACATTTATAACGTACAAGAAGTAACGATAAATGGAAGAGAATGAACTTCGAAGATGAAAAAACACATTAAATTCGAGTGCTTGAAACATGAATGTAATTCCATATAAACCAAGTGTACGCAACTACGTTTCATAATGCATCAAAGTGCTCCACATAGACAACATAAACCGTCCAATGAAACAAAGAAAATAAACAAAAGGATCAAGCACAAATTCAATTGTTGCCACGCTACTCATTGAACATTGACATAGCTAGTGTTTCCCTCCATGTAGTCCACTCGTTAGTAGGCTCAACCACATCGACATAGTCATTTGGTGGGTGTAGTGGTTTCTTCGTATTTGACTCCATTTCTAAAACATCATCGTCACCATCCATTGGATCAATATTTATTGTAGAATGAATGAAGTTTTGAAGAAGATAACATGCCAAAATCACTCTATTTTGAGTGACTATGTCGAAAAAAGTTTTACTTCTAAGGATGGCCCATCTCATCTTCAACACTCCAAAGGCCCGTTCAATTACGTTTCTTGCTCTAGCGTGTCTAGGATTAAATAATTCCCTATGATTTTTAGGTGCTCGAGGACCTTCATCGAATTCGTGCAAATGATACCGCACACCCCTAAATGGTGCTAGAAATCCCGGACTGTTTGTGTACCCACTATCGCAAACATAGTAATTACCTGTGAAGCCAACAAACCGAAATAACTATTCAATAGAGTTTCAAATTCCAAATTATAATTAATGTCCACGAACCCTAGTGAAATTTATTTAAAGTTCATATCTACTTAAGTAAAGGGTCTAACCCGTAGGAACACGTAACCCACCATCTCACCGTACCGCGTCCCTTAAAACTCTACTGTATGCGGCAGACCCTTCCCAACCGATCAAGATGTAAGAAACATTCATATCCACATCACATACGCCTAAGACGTTTACAGAAACACTACCCTTTCTATTTCGCTACTTCAGGTGCAAATTACTAAGAACGCGTACCGGAACATATGTTCCATCTGATGCTCCCAAGCATCCCTGGATGGCATAATTAAAAAAAGGGAGAACAATCAGAAACATTACATGCGTTATCAATTTATTTCATTTGTTTATTATTTATTAAATACTAACCTTAAACCATTTCCATCTCCAATCATTGTTCGAATCCTGAACAGGTTTAGGTTGTACGACGATAAACGGGTGTAAGCGTAGCACAACTCTAAGTACTACATGAAAAATTTTGCTAATAGTTTGACCATACCGCTTAAAATCATATTTAACCACTGCGTTTTTCTTATGATGGCTTAAGACACTCAAGAAAATGGCCACTTGCTCACTTATCTGCACATTTCGACTACTCTGTAGTTTACCAACATGCTCCAAAAGATAGCATAACCGACTGAAGGCATTTCTATCCATACGTAGTTGTTGGACACATACTCTTTCACTAATGCATATAAGCTCCTGCATATGTTGCAGCTGCCTAGGTAGTCGATCTGACATTTTGAAGAAAGCCCGTCCATTTTGCTCTCGAATTCTAAGACGACGTTTTTTTTGCCTTACAATTTTCAGGTACAAAATGGCAATAAAAAACACAATGGTCAATTTATTCGTTATATCCTCAACCCATGTTTTAAATACCGTACTGTACCGGCCGGTAATACCGGATACTGGCCATTGGTACGGTACAATTACACTCAAAATACCAGATTTACGGTTATACCGGTTTGTACCGGGATCATACCGTAAAAACCGCAAAATACCGGTCCAAAATACCGGCCAATAAAAAAAAATAAAAATTTTAATTTAAAAAAATAAAATTTAAATTGGTAGTTAAAATGTTTTATTTTTATCTCATTAGAAGTCGAAATTAATGATTATGATCATTTATTTTTTCACTTTTTTGCATTTGATATTATATATTTTTATGTATATTTATATATATCATTATATTTGCTAATCTGGTAATACCATCGATATTACCGGTCTGACCGGTAATACCGCGTACCCGTGGCTAGACCGGTATGACCACATGTACGGTATTTAAAACATTGTCCTCAACGATCAAAAGAACTTCGACTTCATCCATTTCAATGTCCATGGCTACAACAATTAGTTAATAAATATGCAGCGTTAAATGATTTTGTATAAAATACCGCATTATATGTATTTCAGTACTAAAGGGACTGCAATGCATAAAAACATCAAACTCGTGCAACAGCAGTATGTGAAGAGTTGAGAACACACCAAGGCTTAACGTTCATTCGGGAAAAATTCCATGTCAACATAGCACAACATATGGCTATATATACATATAGTCCATAATCACCTTAACAACATCAGAATTTTTACACCCCCATTTGTACTATTTAGAACTACAAATACACGAAAAAAAGACATATAGCCCACATTTAAAGATTTATCAAAACACCCATTTCATTACCGTGCTCCGGCAAAAAAGGCCTATGATGTCGAAGGTGCCCTCACTTTTTCTCGCCCTCGTGTTGTACGCTTCGCCACCTAAGCACAAATCGAGTAAAAAAAAATTAATAACGAAAAAAAAAGCAACAAAAGAAAAAACCAATTAGCTAACAAATAAATTATGGGAAAAAAGACAAAATTGACGGAGATCTCATGTAATAGTGCATGGGCGATATAGAGGAAACCAACAACTTCACCCGAACAGACGATTTCACAAGCAGATCTAAATTTGAAGACGCGCGGTCGTTCCAGTTCTTCACTGCAATATAAGGTCAATTAATTAATGTCCACTGTTGCCTTTATGTAGATGGTGGTGGCATGTTGTATTTTCTTTGTTGACTGAGGACACTTTAATCCGTAAATTCATTTTTAGGGACAAATGAGACATTGTCAATTCTTCCACTGTTGAGACTTGCCATCGCACCCCTAGAGCACATCAAATAATCAGCCAAAAGCAGGATTTCTCTACTGTTCATCGCGGGCCTCAGCCAATCTCTCGGGCTATAATTATGGTAATCAAACGTGGGATTTTGCCCGGATAATCACCTTAATCTTCTCCTGTCCCCCTTAACAAACATGCTCTAAATAGATAGATTGATCTTTTCCCATTTTTGTGCACCATCTAAGAACTGATTGATTGCGATCTTGCTCCTTCTTGCCTTTGGCTTTCGGTGAATCATTGTGATTTCGCGCAATGGAGATGACGGCTGAAATCGGCAGCCGCCACAATTTTCCTGCGTTCAAACTTCTTCTCTCGTGTCCTGCAGGCCTTAATCCTTCTGAGGTATTTGTAAAGACTTTATCTTTGTTCGTCTACTTTATTTCATACCCAGCTCTTCGTTTGTTTTCGTTGTCCTTTCTTTCACGCTTTAGGAAACAATGCAATTCAGGTGTCTGTGGTGTTTGATAAGACCTATGATAGAATTCCCCATCTGGATACCAGCTTGGAAAATTCAATCACGGAGGTATGCATTCGTCAGTTTTATTCATCAGCTTAGACCTTAGAAGCCCATATTTGATCTGGAACTTGAGAAACCCTCCCGGGCCGGGTTGACTACGAAAGGATATTTCTTTGTTTCTGTGAGTTGATGCTAAAACTGGAATTCAAATGCCAGATATGGGACAAGAGATCTCAACAGAACCCATCTTTATTCAATGGACTCAAGTTCAGGGTATGGGCGCTTTTTCACAAGCTCTCAGATTTGAAGTGTTATAGATTTTCCCCTTGTTTTTCTGGTCGACATTTTGTGTTTTGGTTAAGTTGGTGAATAATGTATTCATTATTGATTATGTTGATAACTTGGCAGTATGGTGGGCACACCCTCAGTGGCAAGGCTGGTTCGTGTAATAAGGCTCATGTATGTCTTCATCTTGGCTTGACTGATTACAGGTTCTATTCCCCCTCAGTTAGCACCTACTTTTTAATGGAAGTTAAAAATTAAAAAAAAAAATGCATAATTCTATACATTGTCGAGTATTTAAAATTATTACTGTGCGTTGGAGACTAACGGTGGGTGGAAGCATGATGATGACTGTGCAATGATAGCTCTAAATCTTTGTGAATGAAGGCAAGATATCCTACTCATACATCATGAAGTGATTGATTAGGGAGTCCTATGGTTTCTTATGCTTATTGATAGAGCTTGAAGGGGGGAGTTAATGGATCAATTCAGATGTGTATTCAATATTTGCAATTTGCAATGCATACTATTTTTCTATGGTTTAAAATAGTTTTGGTGTGTTAAGTACCATCCATACCTATGTGGTTTGAAGTTAAACTGAACCAATAAATATGTTACCTGCATTTATGTGTTGTTTCTTTGTTATATGTTTTGTTTCTGGTGGCTAGAATCGAATGAATGAGAAAGCGAGCAGTAAACCGTATGAACGACGAAGATTATACTAGGAGTTTGTTTTATTTTCTTGACTGTAGCAATCTGACATTCCAAAACTGGACCATGTATCTTTCTTCTTTTCATTAATAAATGACTTCTGTAGACATTTTAAACTTTGCCCAAAACCTGTGAATATAAGCTCACTGATGATCAACATATGAGTACCATTACTTAGGAAGCAAGGATCGATTACGACAATTCGGACACAGCAACATGCTTATTTCAGTGATATAGGACAAGAGACAGCTGAAATTCCTAATTTGGAGTCATTGGTTCATATTTATATAACCAATCTTGTGCCTACGCTTAAGAAGTCAGACACTCAACTGTATCTCATCAATCATCTCAAGCTTGATGCTAACCATCAATTGGGTCAAGCATAAGTAGTTGCTTCTATCACGTATGCGGATAACATAGCCCAAAAAAGACAAAACAATTGACAAAACCAAAAGGATTCTGGACAAAGGCTTGTGCAAAACCAAATTCTGCGCTGGACAGATATAGGTGTGCAACATGGATAAGTCTGTTGATTATATCTTAAAACTAGTTGTTGAAATGTGTGTAAAATAATATGACTGAACTTCTAAGATGTTAATATTGACTATTTCTAAACTAAGATAGTAAAAACTAAAGGACGTGGTTACAATAACATATTTCTAGAAAAGTAAACAAACTTGGAATGAATAACTAATTTTGCATGATCAGAGCAGGTAGTTTGCATTAGAATCTGAAATGTTAAAATTTCTTGTAATTTATTCTACCGATCAAGTCTCAGAAAGTTCTGTCATGGATTGAAGACTGTTAGAGCACCCCATTGTCATTTGGAGGCAGTTTTCTACATTATTTGTAGTACTTGTTTGATTAAATTGGATATCAAGTTTCTATTGTAATAGAGCTCCTCCTTACTAGGTAGACCAAGTTTATCTCTCTCTCTCTCTCTCCCTTCCTGACCCTCTCCCCCTCTCTCATCATTTGAGGGACTCTAATCCAGAGATATTTTTGTGTGCATTTCAGAAATTTTATTGCGAATCTAGATCTTGAAACTCTAAAACCAAATAAGAATATTCTCTATGCATTACAGAGTGGGAGAAATGCTATGGAGCCAACCACCAATGTTATAGTGCCACGTAGGCCATGTGGAGTTAATTATTTTTTCACATGGCCTACGTGGCATATAACATTGGTGGTTGGCTCCATAGCATTTCTCTACAGAGTGGATATTCTGTAAAAAAAAACTGAAAACAGGCACATATGGAAGATTTATTTGATTCTATTTAGGCCTACATTGTTAGAAGTTAGAATCTGATGCAACAAATAATATATCTAGGACTTTTTGCATTAGTATCCTTGTTAAGCTTTAATGGACTTTCTGTAACCTGCAGCCAAACTGCCAAAGATCTTCGTCTTTGGTCAGTGGGAAAAGTCTCAACCTAATGTGTCTAGATGACTCCTTGCATGAGCCATGGTGTTACGTTACATACATAATAATAGAGAGAAGCAGTTTCAATGATTTGATAATTTATGTAACTTTATGATAATTCTTGCTCAGGACATTCGTTGGAACGAACTTGAATCCTTTGTGGGAAAGATTTCTTTTTCCTTCTGAAGGTAAATGTGCTTAGTTTATAGTAACATAAGACTAAAGAACATTTATTATTTATATTTTAATAGTTGTATACTGCATGCTGTCTTACACGACCTTTCCCTATGAAAGGAGAGAACAGAGAGGCGAGATAAGAAAAGTGGGATAAGTGATAACAAGGAGAAAAACCTCTAGGTAAACCTTGTCGAAGGATCTACAAGGATCATGGTACAAAGTCATGCAGAATAATCCTGTCCTAATGTGAATTGACACAATTAATAAGGCTAGGATTTGGCAACCGGAATACATAAATGTAAGAGGCAATGCAAGAAGTCCTGAAACAAAAAAAGACTAGCAAATTGATGATATTGAAACCTTAAAATCTGAAAGTACTTGGATATCATATGCAACTGGCCAAAAAATTGATATTTATTTTTTATTTGTTAGATGACTGGATAAAGTGTCAGCATACCTCCAATCCTCTTGGCAATGGTGCAATTGTAGAGACATCAGATAGAGAAGTTGTTGTGCTTCAAAGAAGTACAAATGTTGGCGAGTTTCCTGGACACTTTGTTTTTCCTGGAGGGCATCCAGAGGTGCTATATACTTAACTATCCTTTCATCTTCTCTGGAAGCAGCTTTCATCTTTTCTGGAAGCAGCTAGCAATTTTCATGCTGTATTCATTTGTCCTACATTTTAATGAATGAATTCTGATGCATCAACATGGAGGCACTTGAATTTGCTTTTTGATTTTGCAATGCACCTATAACACTATTATTTAGCACTTAGCGGTATAATATGCTAATGGGTACTTAATATTTTGCATCACTTGTTACTCATCCCTTTTTTGAAGAAAATCTAACTAAAGTTATAATTGCGGACAGCCCCAAGAAGTTGGCATAATAAGCCATCAATCTAGTGGAGGTTTAAGCTGTCAGATGATCAATAGAAAGGTTTCTCAAGAAATGTTTGACAGCATTATTCGTGAAGTAGTTGAGGAAATTGGAGTTCCTGCTGCTAGCCTGGTCAGTGAATTATTTTGAATAGAAGTGTATGGACATCATTCGATTTAGATGACTCAAAATTATCAACTTATCCATGTATTGTTCTTTTATGACCATCTAACCTACTTCTATTTATGGTGTAATAAAATTATGGTAAATTATAGCACCACCTCCTTATATGCAAATTGCAAATCTCATCACATTTGTTTCATTGTTGGTAATTACACCTACTGGGATTTAAGAGGAGCAAAAGTATAGGCAAATCAGAAGAGTTTTGCAACACTGCAAGTGCTTATTTATAGTTTTGGAACTTTGATGGACTTTTTGTCGATAGGTTATGTAACTTACATTTAATTTATCTAGTAAAAGTTGTTAGTAGTTTTGTGTGGACAGTGGAATGAATTGTTTTGTGTTTTTGTGATTAATGCAGAGCAAGCCCATATTTATTGGAATATCCCAGAGAGTGTTGAATGTTAGGCCGACAGCTTTCTTCTTTATTAAATGCTGCCTTCACTCCGAGGAGATTCAAAAACTTTATAGAAATGCTCAAGATGGCTACGAATCAACTCAGCTTTTCACTATGTCAGGGGTTAGTAATGTTTCTCTATTTTTTACAATACCACAACGGAAAATTTTGAAAAATGATCTCTTCATGACACATGGTATTCGCACAGCTATCATAAATTCGCAAAACTCATAGTAGTGTAAAATAAAGTATGAAATGGAAAGAATCCATTCTATAAAATGCTCTTTCAGTTTTACCCGCACACAATCAAATCACAGTCATCTTTTGTGGACACCTTACAACACAAAGTTCTCAAAAATATGTATTCATCATTGATCTTGATGACTCGGGTGATTTTCCCTACGTAATAAATCTCGGTCTTGCAAAAACTGGTGTGATTGCATTATGCTGCAAATCACCCTACGTAATAAATCTCGGTCTTGCAAAAACTGGTGTGATTGCATTATGCTGCTTAAATCTTGGACATTCTTTTGGTTCTGAGATTCTTTTCTCTAATGGTTTATTATCAGTGTAAGTTGTCAGACATTATGTCTAAAATGCCAGGATGCCACCAAGGAGGATTTGCGCTCTATAAGTTGATGTTTGAGGCTGAAAAGGAGAACACATAGGTTCTGCTGTATGAATCACGATGCTTCCGCCTATTGTATTAGAAAAATGATACATAGCCAACCTAGTGTACAACTAGGTTGACAATACAAGTGAAAATATCCACTTGTGTATTTTTTTATTTTTATTTTTGTAGATGTTTTTTTACTTGTGTTGTCAACCTAGTTGTACACTAGGTTAGCAATGTAGCATTTCTCTATTATTATCTTCTATTCTTCTACAAGTATTGTTTAATTCTGTATTGGGAGCCCTCAAGGCCATATGTTGTAGTAATATCATTTTATTGTGAGCATCTTTTTACTGATAGGTTTATGGGAGGTTTGAAAATATAATAACCTATAACTATAAAAAGATAATAAGTATTTACTAAATATAGTATCAAAATAGTTTTAGATTTACTAAAAATGGAATGAATACAAATTGATGAAAAAAATGGTTTTATTCCTTAAATTTGAAATTAACAAATAGTTTCCTTGTGATCCACATCAATATTCAATACGTCCATACAAATGGAAAAAATGAAAATTTTATTCCTTTATATTCCGCAACAAGGACAACACTTAAAACATAATTTTAAATACAAATTAGAAAAAAGTTCTTTATATTCCTTTATTGATTTATTATACCAGTTTTCAATTTCTACGCGTGCAATAGCCATGCATGTACATGTATATCACTTAATAAATAAATATAATTAAAAACACGATTTTAATCCAAAAGATAATATATAGATTCCTTTCAATTGAAATTTGTTTACATTGGGTTGTACATATTTAAAAAATTTAATCAAATTTAACTTTGAGTAACAGAATTAAATTAACATGGTACGAGTTGTCATCAATATTCTTAATACATAAAAATACTTAAATGAATTTTATTAGATATGAACTTCATTTAATTAACACGATTTTAAAAAATTGATCTGATTCCTTTTTTTTTTTAAGAAAATGTTTAAATTAATCTTATATAAAATATATTACCTACATCTTCGTATATTTAACAGACCGTGCACAAGATTTGGCTAAAGAGTCAATAGTTGGCTCTTTTATGGAGCCAACTGCCATGTTGGCAGGCCTATGTGGCATGTAAAATAAACACGTAATAATTGACCCCTTGACAAGATGTTCTCTTTCCTCCAATTTATTAACCAAATCTAGCTTATCCTTCCATCGAAACAACGACGATAGCACATCCTCAAAATTATTTACCAGGGACAAGCGGTACTCCATCGCGAAGACGAGGGCGGTCATTGCCACCGCTTTTCTTCTCATCCCTCTCGTGTTGGATGTCCGACGAGACGTTGACCCTCCAAGTTGTGGACAGGGACAAGCGATACTCCCTTCGCTACAACAACCTCCGCACTGACTAGGAGAAGGTCACCGCCAATGTCGATTCAAGATGCCTCAAAACACCCCCGAAGATCGTCGTTCAATGCAACCACAAGATGGAGAAGCTCTGTAGATTTTTTTCCAGATCTACCGGTATGGCTCGTCGTCGGTCCACATACAGACATGGAGATTGACCCCGACGGCAATCCATCCACCACATCCTACGACGAAATACCCACATAAAACCCAACTTTAGATTCTCAAATCAACCGTACGACGAACATGGACCTGTCCGGAACAAGGGATTTTTGAGTTGGATTTTTTAGAATGAGTAAAATTGGGAAAGAGGCCAGCTGAGGGTGTGAAGAGGAAGAACACGGGTTCCAAGCCGACAACGAGGTGGCGACAACAATATATTTGCTGGGAGAATGGTATATAAGGATGAAAAAGGTGAAAATGGATATGGGGAGACAAATTGAAGAGATTCGGATGGACATGGAGCTAAAGAGGACCCAAATGATTCTCATGAGCTGTCTCATGATAGAGTTCCTACAGACGTTCATGCGCCTCTACCCGACTTGCTTCCCTGTCATCATAGCTACCCACTCCATGCTCAATACTGGGTAACGAGAGCTCAAGAAATGGAACGTCGACATCAAATTCCACCTCATCCGAAATAAGTTGTTCCCATAGGAATCTGTTGTTGCTAAGAAAATTATATTGTCTTTGTTGGAAAATATGCCCAGTTATGGTGGTGTTGAACCTAGAGGGAACCTCCATTGTTTGCAAAATCTGATTTCTTTTAATAGGATTTGAAGGGCATTATTTTGTTCTTTTAATGGTGTGAGAAACTATCTAGATTTCATGTCCTTCATATTAGAATGCCTAGGTTTTATGCTTGTAGTTTTAACTTTTAAGCAAAGAATGATACCACATTTACCTTGGTCCTCATTTTCTGTATTCCAGGATTTCTACAATGCTATTGAACCGATTCTTGTTTTTTCT